TTCATAAGTCTTACTCTGTGGAGGAAACCCCTGGAGGAGGGGGGGGGGTTATGATCAGATGTTTTATTACCTTAAATGATGTAACTTCTAACTCACTTCACAATGTCACCGATTTGGGTTTTTTTCCAAGCTTGACCAGGATTCAAACAGAAAAGAACAGACTTTACAGAATTCATGCAGTTTTCATTTTCATTCAATAGAATAGTCAAGGAAGAGGGCGCAAAAACCTACACGTGACATTTTGGAGCGAAATAATAGCCAATCGCAACTTCTCGGGCCTTTCCGACTAGCGGAAAAACGACCTCGAATATATATGGTAGACGCCATGACAACCCTCCCTTTTCACGATCTTTGAAATAAATGAATGGAGACCTTTTATCTGTGGAATATGGAGTTTAACTTTATTCAATGTACTGATATTACCTAAAATATACATAGAAGGGACTTCTAACTCTGTCTATGTCTATATTATAATAAACAGGAAATGTATAAAATTTTAACATCCGGTGATGTTAATACATTCGAGGTTGTTTTTCCGACCTCTTACGGAAAGACCCGAGATGATGCGATTGACCCCTTACCTAGAAGACAAATGGACTAATCCAGTAGTATAGAAACGCAGAAAAAAAGGTCAAACGGACATATTCGTATAAGAACTCGCATGGAATTAATAGATGCTAGCAAAAAGCTAAAGGAAATAAATACACCAATGTATTGTATTTGCAAAACGTTTATTTTTCTGCTAACAGAATAGATAACTGTTGTTGCTGAAATGCATGCAACAAAATCCGATGATAATCAGCATGCACAAAATTTTGCTGGCTAACTGTGACCTCTTAGCTTTGAACCCAGGAAATTCTTAGTAGTGCCTGACGCCGTGACGTCAGGCAATAAAAGGCTTTCAGTTTGTAGAAATTTGCGCTATAGATATACAGTTATTACTTGCTAACTCTAAAGTACTCTATCGTACTAGCGTACTCTGTTTAGTAGGACCGGTTTTTTCAATGGGTGGCTCTGTACAACTCTCCGGTCTGTCATTTTTTTTTGGGGAGAGCTACAGATTTCGACAACTTCATATACAGTATAGCTGCAAAATTTGCAGCTATACTGTATATGAAGTTTGATTAAAATATCTTGGATAGTTTGTTTGAAAATGAGCTTTAAACTTAGTTAAAGGCAAAGTGTGACGGAAGGAGATACGGCAGGATGGAAGACGTCCGACATGACAAACACTATATCCCAAGCCATATTCATGGCGGGGCATAGAAATGTCGTGTATAATTATTGGTTTACATAAAAAATAGGTTGTGACTTTCTTTCGGAATTCAACACTAGATATAACCTACATGTATATACGCATGTACAAAAACAAATCAACCCAAGTTACATTCTTGGCTAAGAAGGAAGACATTGTATTCATTTTAAACATGTTAAAAGGGGGGGGGGATTACTAATAGTGATGAGAGGAAATTTAACCACGTGTCGGTCCATGAAACATGAAAGATTATTTTTGGAATGTTTGTATACAACTGCGTGGCTTTCTTTGAACTAAATTAGAATTTATTGAAATATTGAAATAATTCTTTTAGGGACGCCGTGAAATATTTGGTAGTTTGTGTAATAACTGTTTGGATAAAGTGTCTTTTGAAGGTACAACACCTTTCTTTTAATATTACCAAAGGATTGTGTTTTTCATCTAAATAAACACGTTTTTTTTTCTTCTCGTTTTCCTTTTTTATAAAATGCCGTTTGCTTTGTTTAAAAGCTTGTTCATACGCGTTACCAATGTAAGAAGAGAAAACAAGACGTCCTCAAGCAATTTATTTCTAATGATGAAAACACCGAGGACGATGAAGATAATTAAGGTGAAACTATTTACTGACACCCTAGTATCTACATTTGATGTCACCAACATTAACAATGACTGACCGGAAGGACGTTTGGGAAAGAATTTAAATTGATATTTTATTGTTGAGATACTGGTTAATGATAAATAGCATTAACTAATTTTCAATTTTTTAAAAATCGTATTCTGAAACTCTGGATGTATTTTGGCCGTTATTCTATGCAAAAGTGCATATATGTATATTTATACTTACATTGGCTGTACATGTACAAGCATGTAAAATCGTGCAATGTTGAGATATTCTGTATATTCAACGAAAAAGTATATTATTTTGTACAATAACATCTTAAGTTTAGTAGGAAATAACTGCATACTCAGAAGTGCTTAATGAAACGTCACCTCCAATTACAACTACCATGCACGCGTGCATGTAAGTTTAAGATTCATAAAACAATATCCACCTCGATAAAAACAGGGAAAAAAAATATTGCAAACCCAACTAGTGTTTATTCGGCTATCAAAATACATAAAACTTGCAATGAATAAATGTACAAGTGATTACTATTGATTTTAAACAAGCTGAAATAGAGTGAAATTAAATGATATGAAAGAAACTACATGATTTCAAACCCAATTTTCCATTTGTAACTATCGGAGTACACAATGGATTTTCATATATGCCCACTGTTCTCTGCAACCACGTGCTTGTTAACGAGGACCGGGCAACACAACTTTAGACACAAAGCGACAAAGCTGGATATAAACTGTTTGCTATATTACAAATACGTGAATAATAGTATATTATACAGTATTTTTTTATTTTCAATGTTTATTTAATCTTTAAAAAAATTGATATCCCGGTAAATGGTGAAACAAAAGAGTGATGGTAAAAATAAAACGTAGTACACATACAATATTACCTATCACTATATCCATCACTATTTATAATTATTTGCCGAAGCCCCTTCTCAATTACAATTGAAATAAAATACATTAACACAGAATAGAGATTTTTTTTTTTTTGCGCGAACAGGCCAAAGAAAGCGAACACAAGTCAAAATGATTTTACGCACCAGTGTTTGGAATTACGATTAAATATAAAAGATGGGTGAATTAATCTTATTGAATCGCGATGTAATTAAAAACACAGTTTTCTATTAATTGACAGGTCTTTGTACACAATGGTCTAATACAATCACAAACACTTGCTTTGTTTATGTCCACAGGTGGCTGGTACACTGGTGACCTCGATCGGCGGGCAGCGTGGGATTCTCGGCTTGTGTTACATAACTGTAACATGGGGATCATAAAATGTATACAACTAATGATTGTGAATTATTCGATGCATAATTAAAGTTTAAGATTAATTATATAGTTTGTTACAATGATAAACGTAGAAAGATAGATTTCATATCTTCCGCTTTTAAAGACGTGTTCACTATAAAACTAATTAAATAAAGAAAAATAGAAAAATTAGTTGTAATAATAATTTAATAGTTAATCATAAAACACGTTTAAAACCTTATTTTGAAGAAAATCAACATAAAATACCGTAGGGAATATTATTTACAGCAAGTTATACACATGAAGAGGTCAGATTTACTTGCCGAATAAAAACGTTAAATGTTTACCTGACCTGCTTTTAACTGCGTATTATGCAATAACCCCGGTATATTCGAACAAATAAACATTCTCATCAGATCAAAAAGGTGTTAAAGAACAATTTTGCTCGTAAGATCCAGATCGAAATATTAACCGTTTTTGAGTTATAAAGCAAAAACTTCCAAGCTCCATAGATCCCTAATTTTAGGGGCCAGCCCCTTTTTTATAGTATCGAATGAAAGCTCTTGCAATTATGCACAACTTTTGTTCAACATGTCTTAACAAAATATTTTTAGTTTTTAAGATATAAAGAAAAATATATCGAATTTTCTGCTGTTTTCCGCGTTCTAATTTTTGACCCCTCTCTAGCGCCATTTTTAATGCAAAAATCAAAAAACAAAAACCGATGTGCACAACTTCAATGCTTCCTCTCCTCAATTCCAAAGGGTTTTGTGCTCCAATTATTACCTTTTCTGAGCCTTTGTCTGGAAATCGGAGGTATGAAAAATTCAATCAAACAGAATTCTAAAAGGGTTTTAGAAAGTCTAAAAGCTCTGAAAATTTGAACAAAATCCGTTCAGGAATGAGGAAGATATGAAGCGTCAAAGTTGGCGTCTAGGAAGAAAACAAAAAAAAGAATAATAAGAATAATCTTAATCTTCAGAATCAGTAGAAGGTCTTCCGTTGGAAACGGTAGACCTTAATAATCATTTCAATAGTGGTCGTATTTCAATAGTGATTGCATACTATGTTTGTTATTGAAATGCACTCTAAACCACTATTAAAATAATTATTTCAATAGTGGTCGTATTTCAATAGTGGTTGCATACTATGTTTGTTATTGAAATGCACTCTCAACCACTATTGAAATAATTATTTCAATAGTGGTTGCAACAAAGGTCTATATCAGAGGTTTAACACGAATTTCCATGTTGAATACGGTTAAAAGTATTTTTTTTAATCTGCATTTACCTTACTGCACGTTGGAGATAAATTTATCGCAACATTATTACGTATAAAATTATCAATATTTACGTATTTTATTTATTATTGCAATGTTGATAATTTTCTTATAGCACGGTAAAAAAAAAAATACTGTTTAAAATCTAAAAATAAAAAATTACTTTTTCTAGAGTATATGCTTAAAATTTAGGTAAAGGGACCCCCCTAAAAAAAAACTAAATTATAATTAGATGGGGGTCATTATTCGTCTTACACTGAGGCGCTAAAAATTTGGTGAAATTTTCCAGTTAGTTATTGATATTTTTTATTTTAATCAAACATCTTCTGTTTCTATTAACACTCATATATTCTTGATCGTTTGTTTGACCTATTTTACATACATAAACTTTTTGAACTATAAAATGTGCACGAATCAATTGATATTTTTATCAATTTAGTCTACTTTCTTTATCATTTCTGTATTATCAACCATATGTCACCAGTCTGCTAAACGCTGTGCAAATGGTTGTTATTGATTGCAGAAAGATTTGAGAAGCTTGCATTGTATCCTAAAGATTTTTTTATAATTTGTATCCAATGTCATTTTTCAATTTGGGATGTGTAAGTTGATAAATTAGTCGGGATATCTAATGCTGAACCCGAAAGATCTTTTAATTTGTACCCAAGGACTTTATCCAACCTGGATGTGTAAGTCGTAAATTTATTTACATTGTCATTGGTCATTTGCAAAATTATTTTGTTAAAAAACGTTCTGATTGTACACACAAATACTTTGAAGGTGACTTCAAAAATTTGCTTGAGTTTCTGATTGACAATATCTATGTTTTTTTTTTTTTTGGAGACCAAGTCTTCCAACAATCTATTGGAATTCCCATGGGTACCAATTGCGCCCCGTTATTAGCAGACCTTTTTTGTAATTTATATGAAAAAGAATATGTGCAAAATCTTTTGCGTGAAAAGACGAAAACACTTGCTGTGGCCTTCAACTCCACATTTAGATATATCGACGACGTATTGTACATGTCAACTACATGTAACAATGACATTTTCCACTCTTATGTCAATACGATATATCCTGGTGAGCTTGGGATAAAAGATACCAGAGAGTCTGACACATCTGTTTCATATTTGGAAATTTTACTTGAAAAAGAATTTAATGGTAATCTAACAACCAAGTTCTATGATATACGTGATGACTTTAACTTTTCTATCGTCGATTTCCTTGCTTATGCAGCAATATGCCGTCATCACCTGCATACGGGGTTTATATAGGGCCTATCTCAGTTGATTCGATACAGCATGCTCTACGTATGAACAATTTCTAAAACGAAATAAATTATTGACAAACAAGTTGATGAAACAAGAATTTCAGCGGTCTCTGTTGGGTTCATCATCATATCGTGAGTTTTATGGTCGATACGATGACCTTGTCGGTGAATGCAATTTATTGAGTCAAATGCTGACCGACGTTTTTTTCATACTTATTGTTAGTCCATTGTTTGTATACTGAATTGACGACGGATTTTCCCGTTGTTTCCTGGTCATGACAAGGAGCATATGTACGGCTGGTGTGACCGGATGGCAGGGGATGCTCACTCCTCCATGGTACCTGATCCCACCTCCGATGTTTTAGAGGTCCTTGGTTGCTCTGCTCCTATTTTGTATTGTTTTAATGGGCTTCCTAGCTTGAAATACTGTTCGTTATCTCCATATGTTTCATTGATAAAGTAGTTGGGATATCTAATGCTGAACCCTAAAGATCTTTTAATTTGAACCCAAGGACTTTATCCTGGGTGTGTAAGTTGATGAATGAGTCATTATGAAAATCCGTTAAAAGTTGATCACAAGCCAATAATAAGTATAGGAATTAAAAATAATATAAACTGGTGCATTACTATTTAGAATACTACATAATTCTATATATTATACGCATCGTCTCAAGTCACGGTCCGGAGTCCGCATGTAGCTCTCTCCTACCCGGTCTGAATGGGAGTGGATCGTACATTATGTGCCGTGGTTAGCGACGATGTATTATGCGAGGGTTTTTCGAAAAGTTCGTGGACTTCTGTCATATCTTTTTTATTTGACGTCATATGTTATTCAAATTTGGTAGAAATATTTTAACAATAAATCCAAATGATTTGTACTATTTTTTTGATATCACGATTTATTCAAAACTTATCCAGATTTTAAAAATGCAAAAATTGGATCGCGGATAAGATCAAAATTTAGTAAGTTACAAACAATACACTAAATAATCTTTGTAGTCATTTTCTCTGTAAAATGGAGCAAAAACGAAAAGCAGCCTAGACATTCAAATTAAGAATTGCTACATCGATTCGTATTCCAAATTATGGCTTAATAATTTACTTTGATGAAAGGAAATCAACTTGAGAAGATAGGTAGTCCTAATTGAAAACAACAAAAACGATGACGTTATAGAACGTCACAGAGCAGCAGATAACGATGTAATTTTTTGTTTTACCCAGGAAAAATCCTGAATAAACTTTAAAAAATGTTGGAAGAATAAAAATATATGTCAGAAGCGAGTTGTGCATGTGTGTACAAATGGCACAGGGAGTATTTGAGAGACGAGACAGAGACTCTGTATCGGATGAGGACAATCTGTGAAGAAACGGTTTAACTGTAAAAAGCTGAACAAAAACTTTTTTGAACGTCAAGGAATGACAAAGGCGCTGCAGAGTTGCTTTGTGGCAACGCACTTTGAAAAAATTACGCACTTTGAAAAAAATTTTCAAAGTGCGTTAAATTTTGGACACACTCAACGCACTTTGAAAAAATTTTTCAAAGTGCGTCAAGAATGCACATAATAATTTTTTACCATGGAGGCATTTAACGCACTTTGAAAAAAGAGATATGAATGAAAATCAAAATTCTAGACTTAGATTTTAGTAATAGAGGAAATCAAATTGTAATAATTATATCTTTCGAAAAACTTTTTTAAATTTACATGAACTCATTTAACCTCATTGAGAACAAGGAGAAGACGAGTAGAAGGTCTCTCATCCCAACTCTTTTTTTCTTAAACATAGTACATAGCCGTCGGTAGCTAATTGAAAGTTGACCCCACAGGTAAGCCCCAATTTTTAATGCATACATGTATATATTATGTATATCTTTGCAAAATATTTATGTGCCTACATGTAACCCCCCTTTCCGGTACTGATGCCTATGCTACACCCAAATATATGTGTTTACATAACTGGTATGACGTTGAAAACTTTCAATAAATTTAAGTTTACATAAAATGCATGCAAACTTGAAAAAAAATTAATACAGTAATTAAAACCATTTAAGCGAGAAAGAATTTTCTAAGTATGGAAAAATCAAAATCGCTCACTTTCACATCCTGATGTGATCTCTTCACAGAAGACTTATCAAACAGGTTCAATTATTTATCATACCTAAGATTTGCAGGAATATTGACAAATCCATACACAGTTTTTCAAAGTGCGTTAATATGGTCCACATTAACGCACTTTGAAAAGAAAATTTATTTTTTCAAAGTGCGTTGACTTGGTCCCAAAATTTAACGCACTTTGAAAAATTTTTTCAAAGTGCGTAATTTTTCAAAGTGCGTTGTAACAGTGCAGTAATAAAAGAATAAGATATTAAAACCCTGTTAAAGGAAATTATACAGCAAGAGCAATTCTTAAAAAAGAAATATCAAGTACTAGAAAAAGGATTTAATGAGTGGGCATTGAATTATACTGTGTGAAATGAATAGGGATAGTATTTTTAGAAATTCTTGACGCTATATTTGACCTTAAATTGCCGTTAAGTGTGCTCCGCAGGTACAAAACATGTTGATTTTAAAATGAAGTAAATTATTTTCTGTTAAATCAAATGGAATGAAACTTCACACTTCAGCAAAACAAATAGTATCACACATTAATGAAACATTATATTCTGCTTAATTAAATTTCTAGTGACATGTATTTTTTAAAAAATACATCTATAAATTTTACAAGCATATTTTGCTGCCCGACACTCCTATGCATTTGCCAAATCCAGTTAATTTTTTCTCATTTTTTTCTCGTTTGCACAAAACTATTCTATTCACATGCATACAAACACTAAACATTTTGTAACTATGCTTGTCTTATACATATGTGTCCTGCGAAATTTTGAATTCGCTGAAATTGGCCAAACCCTACATCGGGGGTCATGATTTGAACAAATTTAAATATATAACTCGAGATATTTTCATTTAAAAATTTACTAATCAATCAAGGATTGACTGTGGGAAAATTTTAAAAATGTTTCTTATTTATACCCCTGTAAACGTTGAATAATCATAATGGCACTTCATTGTAACTATGATTTATGGATACTCTGTGTCGGGTTTCGTTAAAATTGACCAATTGGTTATGCTTTCACAATCTAGTTTGGACAAACTTAGTTTTGCATCTCTAGATCTTAAACTTGTTAAAATCGTATTATTTTATCTGCAACAAGAAGGACAGAATTTAGGAGAACAAGTTGTTTGATTTCCTCTTACGCTGAAACCAAAATGTATAGGTTGGGTATTAGTGTTTTTGTGTGCTTAAGAAATGTGTTTCATTGCAACTATTTAAATATTTTCACTCTTCAACGCAAGAAAGAGCAATATATGAAAAGTGTTTCAAATGGCCCCTTAAAATGAATATCTTAATTTTACTTTATATATACTTTTAATTTGCATGGCTATACATGTGTCCTTTATTGGTAATTTTCAATCTGATCAGAATGCCTTTAATTTAGAAATATGACATCATAAAGTTAACGTTTTCCCGCCATTTTAGCATCATTTGTATAAAACTGCTTATTTTCAAGCAGTTTTTCTTCCAGAAAATATTGAGCGCAAACTAGAACAAACTTAATATTTTTACCAAAGATGTATCTATACAAGACTTATTACTGACAGAAAAATTTTGCATGTTCCAAGCTGCGCTCTATGTTTTCCATAAGAAAAAATGTCAAGAAAAAGACAATTTTTATCTTGTTTTGGTTGTATTACAAAAAATAGCACCATTTTGACATCGTTTTTAGCCTGTGATTGCATATAAATGTAGAAAAAAATGTATTGGAAATATTCGTATTTTCAATGTTATTTCTTCTGCAAAATAAAAATCAATTATACATATATGAATATCATTCTAAATAGTGTTGATTTTTAGGGGGCTAAAATGACTCTTATCATATATAGTCCTTTGTTGATTTTCTTGAGATGTTATTTTTGCGGTTTCGCTTGGGCATAACATTCAATAGAACACAAATTGCTCAGTGTAATTCTTATATGCAAAGTCTCATTTGTAAGAGTTTTTATTTATTCATTTTATTTATCTTTTTTTGCAGAACACCTGACAATGAATTTTAAACTACTAGCAATACTTATATTCGGAAAAATTTTGCTTGTTATTGGACGCACGTGTCCATTGCCTTGTTCTTGCAAAAACACGCATGTTGACTGCCATGGGAAGAAACTTCGAGTTATACCACAGAATATTCCCACGTCTTCTGATCGCCTTCTTCTTCACCAAAATCATATAGAAAATATTAGTAAAAAAGACTTATGTGTGTTTCCAAACCTTATTGAATTACAGCTACAAAATAATAAAATTAAGTCGATTACGGCTAACACGTTTTCGGGTGAATGTCTTCCAAATATTCAGAGTATTCGACTGGAAAATAACAAAATAAATAGCATTGAACCAAGTGCATTTTCCAGTTTATCTGCACTTAAAAATATAACTTTAACAAACAACAAACTATTTCAATTGCATTCCAATGTGTTTCAAGGCACTTCTTTGACGTTTTTGCATCTTGGAAGTAATGGGCTCATCGAAATTCCAAACCTTCAAATAGAAAGTCTTGAAGTATTAATCTTAGAGGGAAATAAAATACAAAATTGCATTTTCCCAAAAGTCTTTGATACTATGTTCAACTTGACAAGAATTGGTCTGAGCAACAACAAAATTCAACACCTGGGAAGAAATGGATTTGCTAATTTGAAATATTGTAGTGTACGCAAATTAGAACTGGCAAGAAACAACATAACTAAAATTTCCAATGAAAGTTTTTTACCACTGACAACATTGCAATCCCTTAAACTTGGTTGGAATCCATTGACGGATGTTGAATTACCTAATGCTCTATCCAGCTTACGCGATGCGCCCTTAGTCTCTCTTAGCATCCCTAGTATTCATTTAGACGGACACATGCCATTCTCCTCATTGCAGGTATTGGAATCTTTGAACGTATCGACACTTGATATGAGTTTTAATGAAATCAATAATGTTCCGATCATGGCTTTCAAAGCATTGACACAATTAAGAACTTTAGACATCAGTAATTGTGGGATTCGATTTATCTACGAGAACGCTTTCAGTGGTCTACAAAATCTTAACAACCTACTACTAAGCAATAATTATGTGCAAAGCGTGCCACAGAATCTTCCGAAGAATTTACTTTATCTTTATATGACCGGAAATCAAATTGACGTTTTAAAAAACAAGTCTTTCTCGAATTTAGGGCTATTAAGACGTCTTCATTTGGGAAACAACAAAATATTGACGCTTTACGGAGGAGCCTTTTCTGGTCTTGACAGTTTAGAGGAATTACATCTTTATGGAAACCGCATCAACACACTTCTAAAGCGTTTATTTGCACCATTCACTCGTCTTACAAAATTAGAGCCTCAACAAAACAATTTGAAAATGATTCAAAACTCAACAGAAACCTTTTCCACGATGTCCTCTTTGAATGAACTAAATTTGGCTGATAATGGATGTTCCTCTCTTCCTTTGACGTTGTTTTCAAATGTAAATAAATCTTTGCAGAAACTAGAGTTTAAAGGAAATCTACTCGGTAAAATTTTACTAGGTGATATTGATAGTAAATTATTTCGTGGTTTAAAACAATTAGACTTTCTTGATTTGTCTAATAATCAAATACATGATCTATCACCTGGACTATTTAGAGACATGATGAATCTTAAAACCTTACTTCTGAGAGATAACTGGATACCTGGATGGGGAAAAGGTGTATTTAAACAGTGTATTTCTCTCAATTCCTTGGATCTTTCGAATAACGTGATTGCAGTTTTAAATGAAGAAGCCATGGAAGGAATTCGCGCTTTAAAGAGTGTCAACTTCACAAATAATCCCTTTGCATGCACGTGCGATCTGCTGTGGTTTCGAAAATGGATAAATAGCACAAGCACAAAAGTTTTGAGTGTGGAAAACTATCAATGCAATTCCCCTTTAGAATGGAAAGGCAGGTCGCTGCTTTCTTTTGATGAAACCCAAATCGATTGTTTTCTTGTCTCTCGGTCAACTACTATTCTAATCGCTCTTGCCGTTTGCGCAGTAACTAATGTAATTGCTTTGGTTATTTATTGGTATAGGTTGTACATAATGTATTTCTGGTATAGAATGAAGAAACACTTCAGAAAACAGTTTTTGAGACGACACAGGGACTACAATGAAATAATAGATATGACAATGGAGTTTGATGCATTCATTTTGCCTTCGGACAGACCTGAAGATAACAAATGGATCCAGGAGAACCTTTTGCCTGACTTTGATATCGGGACCGAGGAGGACAATTTCCATGGGGCTTACAGGATATACTATGATGAACGTGACACGCTTGGAAATGATTTCAAATTAAAAATATTTATGGATATCATGGAGAAGAGCAGAAAAATTATCATTGTGATAACAAAGAATAAAACATCACAATTGGATGACATTTTGATCATGGAAACGCTTATATTAAAAAGAAATTCAGTCAAAGATATTATTATCATAACTGTAAATGAAATTTCATTAGCAGATGTTCCAAGGCTTCTTCACTCCAAGTTCATAATAGGGGATCATGTTGAATGGAGAGACAACCAAATTGCTAAAACGGTTTTCAAAGAGAAGATGAAGGAAAAGTTAGGATAACCGATCGAAGAGACTGAAAGAGATACAGCTTAAAAAAAAAAACTTTTCAATTTTTAAGTGTATTGAGATGAATGATTTGTTGATTAAATAATGATAAATACAGAATCTTTCTTGTCTCAGATTTTGCATTGGTCTTTATTTGTTGCTATTTGAGAAAAGATGGCAGAATCATTTAATTTCTATAAAATACTTGATTCTGATTGGTTTAAAAATTCTTTTGATACCTGCATCAATAAAATCTAGAGTTCGCTTGCACTAAGCAGCCGGAACTACTTTGACTGTCTTTACATGTATATTTTCCGTTTCCAGATTACTTTTGGAAGAAATATTTAAATAGTTTTACTTTAATAGATATTTTCCCGAATTTCGAAACCTGTCCGTTACATTCCTGACTTATTTCCTACTTTCGTTTCTTTTTTGAATTATCCCCCTTTGCTAATCAAACCAAATCGTCTGCATGACAACAATACAGTTATGGGAAAGAATGAAAGAAATCAGCATATTTACATGTATGTTAAATGAATGCCTTAGAGATGACTGGTATGAACTGTGAAGAAATGTTTTTATGCTACCAAAGCTGGAAAATGCTGTTAATGTGTTAATTCTTAGGAAACGAATGATCGAGAAAAACGACACCGCATGAATGAGGACGGAATTCTTTTAATCTTAAAGAGTTGTAAACAGACACTTTAAGAGTTTACAGCCTTGTCAGGTTGTGATACGTATTTAAACGATTCGATTTGAAATTCAGATGAAAAGAAGCGCAAATGAAATCTAAAATTTTTGTGATAGAACTGTTAGGATATTTGAGTAGCTTCCCTTTACATTTAGGAACTTAAAGGAGAAAATATATACCCACTGGGATATAGCAAAATATGATAAACAACAGGTAAGTTTTTTATGTTAAAGAACTTTCATAATTGTTTGAGAAGATTGGTAATGACACGACAATATTTGAGAACTTGTTTTTTTGTTAGCCCCATAAGTTAGCCATTTTGAATTTCAGCAACGTCACCGTTGTTACGATACATTCATACGCACTGCTTTTGATACGTAAATTTCAGAGTAAAGTGAAAGAAGATTTCATTTTATTAATTTAAAATCATAATTAAATGATAAGAAATGAATGTAATACTTTTTCCTTTGATCGAAGTATCAAAATTTGAACAGAAAACGTTTTCATCAAGGCGCTACACGCATTGCTGACGTTTTCCGTCCAAATTTTTTCTTTGATGCTTAAATCAAAAGAAACAATATTACATTCATTTCTTAAGTTATATACATGTAAATGTTTTTCATTTGTTTCCCTTATTTATACACTTTATCACATTTTTTCCAATTTCCTGAATGACAAGGGGCCCATATGTGACCAGTGATAGGGATGATTTCCTCAATGGCACCTGATCCCACCTTTGATGTTTTGGAGGTCCGTGTTTGCTTGGCTCCTATTTTGTATTGTTTAATGAACTTTTGGTCTTGAAGACTGCTTGTGCATTACCCCCCATATGTTTCTTTCAGTAAATAACAGGTAGGAGTAAAATTTGGCTTTAAAATATTAAATATTTCACACAAACTCCGTTTGATGATATTGAACATGTGTAAATAATTCAATGAATTTTTTTTTATAAATTAGATATTGAATATTCAATATAAATGATTGCGCCTGAATCACATATAATGGAATTTCTTTTTTCCAAGAATTCAAAAATAAAAATGTTAAATTACACACACCAAAATCTACCTTTAATTTGGTCACTCTTTAAAGATTCAATTTGAGTTGGAATGTTTGAATTAAGCTTCCCAATCTCGCTCTGAATGTCTTGGTTATTGGTGAGCAATAATGTGAGCACAAGTGCAACCCCTGCAATCGTAATCGTTGTGATGATAATCCGGAAAAACTTGAAAATTGTCTCCTTGGTTCCATTTCGTTTCAAACCATTCTTAACATAAAAAATGTATGAAAATATATAAATACTAAATAATTTAATCTGAGTATTAAAAACAACAAGACTGACATGATACAAACCTCGTTTTGTCGACTTTCTAGGTCTGCCGACATATAGGTGTGTCCCGATTGCTGGAAATATAGATAACATGATAAAATTAATGATCTTCCTTATAATATAAACCAGTATGCTATTTTAAAACAAAATAAAAATCAACTGTACATGTAATACTCACATTTGAAACTCGAAGTCTATAATCATTGAATATGTTGCCCTAAAATGTATAGGCACCAGTATTTAAACTTATTTGACCAAAATATATCTTCCAGAAATTCCTTTATTTTAATTATTATTATTATTATTAGTTTTAATAAGGATATATTTTTATAACCATGGTTTGTAATTATTTCCACATGTAATTCTGTAAACTAAAATACATGTAGGTCTTGATTAAAAGCCACTTCCGTGTAAAGATTAATACATTTGTTTAATACATGTAAATATGAATACATATTTCTAATTCTAAAAAAATAATTCTCTTAAACATTGATATTAAAGAAAATAAATTTATATATTAAATTTTTTTAAAATTTTATTCACCTTTGGCATTAAGAAAGCCTTGTCACACAATTTTCAAAAACAGAAATATTAATTGAAACGATATCTTACATTTCCAGTAGGAACCCTGGGATTCTGAAGAAAAAAAAATATCCATATAAAACTATGAACAAAAATGTAAAGAAAACAAAACAACAGTTGTCTTTGTGAAAATTAAATCACTAAATTTATGACTCGACTTACAGACACTATAGCTGGTGTTAGTATTCTCCGTTCGTCCGGTAAAATTTGTGTATACTGATGAGGACCATTAACATCTTTAAAAGATCCAGGTGGAAAAAAAATCACTAAGTATTACGTTCATGATTTGCTAAAAATAATTCTCAATAATTAAAGAATAATATCACTTGATTTATATGTACCATTTTGTTTTAAAACTTACTATTGTCATAGAATTGACCACCAGTGTCCTGCAAGGTGTAGATGTCAATGAATGAATTTTCGTATTTAATATTCAATACGGAAAGTATAAAGTAACAAATTCACAAGCTTCTATTCCATTTTAAAATTCACTAAATGATAACTACATCTACATGTACAAAATTAAAAAGAAAAAAGGTTATAATTAATTAAAAATTATTATTTAATGTTGATATAATTTATTAAAAAAAGAAAAAAAAAACGCAATTGTAGAAGTGGTGTCAATCAGGTTTGCATTTTGCAAAATCTTTTGATTTTAAAATTGTCATTGTTTTAGAAGTCAGAAACATCAAGCCATTTTATTTTTCTTCACATTACACAACCATTCCTTACAATGAATTAAATCTTAGGCTTTTAGATATTATAGACAACTATCTTTGCATTTATGGCTAGAACATTTATAAACTCAAAGAAAGGATATATATATTTCAAAAGTACTCACATGTATACTTCTTTGAAATCTTCCATTATTAATTGCCCTATAGAAAAGTTTTATTTTTCTTTTATTGTGAATAAAATCTTGTATAAATAAAATGTGAGATACACACATTAGTTTGATGAACAAGGTATTGTCATCTGCCAATTACGGATATCCAAGTAAAGGAAATAGAATAATGAAATATAATAATAATAACGAACACTATTCAAGCTCAAAAGTCCATTCAACAATATAAAATTGGAGCAGAGCAAACACGGACCTCAAAAACATCAGAGGTAGGATTATGTGTCATGGAGGAGTAAGTATCCCCTGCCGACCGGTCACATCCACCGTGCTCTCCTTGTCATGATAGGGAAATCACGAGAAAATCCGTCGGCATTTTCTCGTACATAGTATGGCGTAACATTTAGTATGAAAAACGTTATTCAGCATTTGACTTAATGATAAATTGTATTTGCTGACAAGGTCAACGTATCGACCATAAAACTCACGGTATGAAGACTATTCTTGTTTCAACAACTCGTTTTTCAATAATTTACCTCGTTTAAAAAATTGTTCATACGTAAAGCATTCTTTTTCGTGTCGAATCAACTAAAAGGTATCAGCCCCGCTTGCAGGTGATGAAGGTATTGATGCGTAAGTAAGGGAGTTGGCGATTGAAAAGTTAAGGTCATCTCGTTTGTCAAAAAGCTCTGTTGCAACCACTATTGAAATAACGACCACTATTGAAATAATTATATCAATAGTGGTTGAGAGTGTATTTCAATAGCAAACATAGGTGATAACCACTATTGAAATACAATCACTATTGAAATAATTATATCACTAGTGGTTGAAAGTGCATTTCAATAACAAACATAGGTAATAACCACTATTGAAATACAACCACTATTGAAATAATTATTTCTTCAGTGGTTGAGAGTGCGTTTCGGTAACAATTATAGGTAATAACCACTATTGAAATACGACCACTATTGAAATAATTATTTCACTAGTGGTTGAGAGTTCATTTCAATAACAAACATAGATAGTAACCACTATTGAAATACGACGACTATTGAAATAATTATCTCAATAGTGGGTGAGATTCATTTCAGTAACAAACAGGTTGCAACCACTATTGGAATAATGTTCACTTTTGAAATAAAGATTTCAATATGGATAAAATCATTGATTTCAATAGTGCTTTAAACAATGAATCCAATATATATTGAAATAATTATTTCAAATAATGTTCAAACTTTTGAAATTGGTAGTATTTCAATAGTGGTTGAAAATTATCAATTTCAATAGTGCTTTGAACAATGAATCCAATATACATTGAAATAATTATTTCAAAAGTAGCTGACTCGTAGTATTTCAATAGTGGTTGAAACCTATGGTTATTATATAGAAATGCACTCTCACCCACT